CCCTGACTGAGCTCTCAAGTGTACTTGTTTTGCTAGCTATGCATTTTAAAAAGCCTTTACTGACTTCCAGACTCATTTAGCAACACAATATCCAGGCTGTGCTAGGTGTGGTTCCTCTACTTCCTCCATTTCTTGCACGGTTTCCAACTGTTACACCGCTCCCTCTCTTCCCTCCTTTCTTTTCACTTTCCCTGACCTGGTTTGCGTTGTGCTGCTACTTCCTGTGTTCTTGCGGGTGGGGGTGAGGAGGGGTGTGTGGGGGGGCACGGGGAGCTCTGTCCTCTCTGTCCCACCCATGTAGTTGCCTTTAGATGGCTGTAAAGTAAACCAGGTTCGCTGAGAGGAGTAAGCAGCCTCCTGAGCTGGGCACGTGAGTCAAACCCTGACCCCTTCACGTACCAGCTGTGTAACCTCAGCTAATTCACTTCTTTCTGTGTCTCTTTTTCTGCTTTAAAATCTGTTTCTCAGCTTCAAAATCAATATTACTATACTAATACCTATCTCACAGAGTTATTATAAGGCATAAATTAGCTAACACATCTGAAGTGCTGAGTTTAGTGCTTGGCACAGAGTAATTGCTTGCCTAATCAATTTTGTTCTTACATTTGCATGATGGCAGGTAATTGATATCAGAAAATCCCATCATTTGGTGGAGACAGAAATGACTTCATCTACTACAAGGCAAACCCTTCCTCCAGGAAGAAAATGAAACAAGCTCTCACTTTAAGGTGTTTCCCATTCCTTCGTTTTTGAGTTCCCCTTGGCCACAACAAAGCATGTTGGCTGACTGCCACTGGGACCTCAGAGACCAAAACATTAGCCAAGATTTTATTTTCTCTTAACTCTTGCAATTCCTGTCTCACCAAATCCCTGCCACCTGTATTTATAAAGCAGAGAGTGCTGGTAATGGCTTCATGTTCCGGCCATGGTTGACCTGGGGCTAATGGTCCTAGGGCACTGCACAGAAAGCTGAGGGGACGATGGCTTTTTGTCTACTTGCCTCACAAAAGTCATTCATCAGAGCGTATGTGATGGCTGTGTGTGCAGGTGGGAGGGTTTAGTGTAAAGAAGAATTCAAAATGATGCTCAGAGCCAGCAGTGCTCAGAGCTTTTGATGAAGCATTTCCACTGATGCTCACAGCCTAATCATACAGATGGTATTATTTTTTCTATTGTAAAAATGAGGTTGTCAACAGTGAGGCCAAAAAGGGTAAGTAATTTGACAACGGTCTGCCTTATTTTAACATCTGTGCTCTTAACTACATCACAGCCCTTTTCCCCTTCACTTTGGCATACACCCTGCTTCCTATAGTATCCTCTTCTGGCCTTTCCTTATCCATAACATGACGGGGTTTGACACGATGACTAGGAGTTCCCTGTCCGCTTTTCCCTTCCCTTCCCTTCCCTTCCAGAGTGCCATTCTGGCACTCTGGGTCGGCATCTGAGTTTAGAAGCACAGAGTGTCCATCTGAATGTGTGCGGACAGGTCTCATTTGCTCACTGCTGCTTGGTTTATGCTGCAGTTGTCTGTGACTCTATCTGAATCACACTGTATAGTTCCCCCATTATCATGTTCTTGTACCCACCAAGCACACTTTGTTCCATTACCAGTGCGCAAATCCTCTTAGGAATCCAGTAGAGCTTCAAGAATTATCTTCTGGTAGTTGCCGAATGTGTTCTGTTGATCCACAATTTTATACAATTTAACAAGAAAAGGTATTCCTGAGAGTCTCAACAATGTTTTAGTCGTGTGCAAGAGTGGGAAACCAACCACCATTGAACTCTACTGAGTTAAGTATCTTTTGTCTTGTTCTTCATAGTTTTATTAGGCACTTCCTCCAATGTTAGGTACTTGCTCCAAGGCTTGGACAGAACAAGGCTCCATAGCTTGTGCAGATAATTCAAATCTGAGTTTGCCTGTATTTTTTATACAGTCACTACCATGACTTTTCCTTTGGTGTAGTAGTAAAAAGAGGCACCAGATCGGAAATTCCATTCCAGCTTTGCTACTAATTTTCAGTGTGCTGTTTTGTTAAGACAATACCAATAAAATCAACCTATAGAATTATCTTTAAATTGAGTAATCTAAGAGATTCTGTACCTTGAGCCATGTTAATGATTTAATCATCTCAACTGGTTAGAACATGGCATCACCTTTTATTCCGCTCTTTTACCTCATAGGTTCAATCACCAAGTACTACTAGTTCTCTCTTCATAATGCCTCTCTGTATTCTCTTCCTCTTTCGGTCACCCACCACAGTAAATCCGGGCCTTATTTTCAGTCCTGCAATCCTGAAATAAATTGTAAGCTGCCCATACTTCCAAGATCTACCCAAAATCTCTCCCAGCATATACATACATATGTGTGTGTGTGTATATATATATGTACACACACACACACAAAAATATATTTGCACACTTCTTGCTGTTATCCGAAACCTCAATTATTCCTTCTCTAATTTTTGTGGTATCAAGTTCTTCAGGCTTCCATAAGCAGAAATGCCCTAAATAAATTTTTTGTTCTTCTCTGTCTACCATCTTTTTCTTATCTCTGAACTTTTGCAAAATCTGTGTTTTGCAATTCTCTTCATAAAACTCTTTCTTCCAAGTTTTCAAGGTCCATTCCAAGTACCAAAAAATATCCCTTGTCCCTCTTGTTCATCAAGAAGCAAATATCCTGAACACAAGCACAATTCTGGGCACATAATAAGCACTTAGTAAATATTTGTTGAATGAGTGTATGACTTCCACAAAGGTACCCTTGACTACATCATCCTACATGTGTATCAAGATTCTTTAAACCCCAATGGCACCATTTTAGCAGCTCTGTGGCCTTCTAATGTGAGAGAGTTGTTTTATTTTCATGCAATTAAGGAATAGGATCAATGAAATCAAAGGTGTTAAATTAGCCAAGTCCAAGCCCTGGCTATTTCTCTTTTAGACTGGAGGGGGAGGAAGCTCTGCCTGTGTGTCAGGCCCTGTTCTGAGTGTTCTGTCAGTGCTTACTCTCTGAACCATTACAACAATATTGTGAAGTAGCTGCTATAGTATCCCCATTTTACTCATGCGAAAACCAAGTTTCAGAGAGGTTATGTTACTTGCCCAAGATAAGAAAGTTATGACATGGTTAAACCAGGATTCAATCCCAGGCATTCTGGCTGCAGAACGTGTAATCATCAGCAGTATACTATGGTATCTCTCACACCACTGCAGAGCAGGAAAATATTGACTATCACCAAACTAACTCCAAGAATGGGGAAAAAAAAACCCTCCTAGGTCAGACTTGACAGTCAATGGCTCATAATATATTCTTATGGGAATGCATAGCCCTTAAGATTCAGCTCTTGTTTATTTACAATCCCTAGTAAGATGCTCTCCTAGTTGTTTATAACTAGCTATATCTTGTGTTTTGGTGTTAAAAGATAACCGCCTTGCCCTAGCTGGAGCCATTTTTTCCCCCTTTAAAGCGCCTTCGCTGGCCCTCTGAAATGCCACATGGCTAATGGCAGAATGTGCCTTCTTTAAGGAAGCCCTGCTTCCTGGAGCTTCTCTGGCATGCTGTCTTAGGAAACTGCACTGCAAGCCTCTGAGCAGCTGAATAAAAATGAAGTGGGCATTTGTATTTCCCCACTGATTGAGTTGGCTCAATCTGAGGTAGGTTCAGATTCACAAAAGGATACACAGGCTTGCTTCCAGGCTGCCAAAGGAGAGGCAGGAAAGCAGACTGTGTGCCCAGCTTCCTTGCAGAGCATGGCATTGGATATGTGTTAGTGGTACCCTTTAAAACCAAGGCTCCAGAACTCCCCCACCCCCACCCGTCACGGGATGATTTGTGCAAAATGCCCTACTTCTGATGCCAGCTGGACCCTGTTCAAATGAGCGTGCAGATCAGAAAGTGTTTTTATTATTTTTTTCACAAGGGCATGGTTTTAATAGTGACATATTAAGATGCAATGTCTGCTAAATTATAAGAATTGCTTTAAAAATATATTGACTTAATTATACTCATTTTTCTTTCCTTTATGTATTGACATTTTTCAAAGACTGCATACTAAAATAAATTCAAAACATGATCATTACATGTGGCACATAACTTACCTGCCTAACATTTTTCTCATTCATTTTTAAACTAATGCTTAATGCATTAAACTTTATAGATGAAAATACTCATATTCACATATTTCATAAAGCCAGAGCTAGTTTGATTTTGATTCCACCATTTTTTGCTTTAGAAAATAGTCACAATTGCATGAAATGCTGAAAATAGTTTACATATTTCTATACAGCATTCTGTTCACACCATGTATAATCTTGATACCATCATAATAATGATAATTGTGGATACACTAATGTTGAACTTACAGTTTTAATACTTAAAAATCATTGTTCCTATCCATAATTGATGAATGGATAAACAAACTATGGTACACATTCCTACAATGGAATATTATTCAGTTATTTAAAAAATGAAGTTCTGATACATGCTGTATCTATCATTATCATGGGTAAACCTTGAAAATATGATTCTATGTGAAAGAAGCCAGACACAAAAGGTCACATATTGCATGATTCTATGTTTATAAAATGTCCAAAACAGGCAAATTTATAGAGATAGGAAGTACAGTAATTGTTTCCAGGGGCTGGGGGAAGGGGAGAATTGGGAGTGATTGCTAACAGGTGTGGGGTCTCTTTGGGGTGACAGAAATGTTCTAAAATTAGTGGTGATGTTTATACAATATAGTGACTACACTAAAAACCACTTTTAAATGGTGAGTTTTATGTTCTGTAAATTTTATCTCAATTTTTTAAATGGCAAAAATGTATATGTTCCAATCAAGAGTGTCATGGTATCAGTATGGCCATAACTAGAATAAGAAATGGTTTCTCAATCATGAAGATGTGACAATGGGAGAATTACTGAGCAAGAGAAAATTTGATGACATATTTAAGGGCATATATACTAAAGGATAAAACTGCTATTGCTGGTAAAACATGTAAAGATGTCCTGGCCTATGCTTTCTCTACTCCCCTGTGCTCAGTTGTAAGAGGGGAATCTGACAGGACATACAGCAGTCTCCCTCTCAGTTTAAGAGGGTTGTCCTGAGTACAGGGCTGGCTCTTAAAGGCATGAGAGGACAATTAAAAAAAAAACCATGTAAAGATGATCTTTCCCAGGAACTGAAATTAAAATTTTTACAAGAAGTCAAAATCTTAAGCAATACAATCGTCTCAATATTGCCAAATTTACAGGAGTTCACACACAAATGCAGTCTATCTACATCATTAATGAACTGGTTCCAGGAGGTGATTTCCTCTCCTTTCTGAGAAAAAAGTTAGTTAACAGTTAGTAAACAGTTAGTGGGTAATTTTCATTAGATGCCACTTCTGGATGGCAAATCTTAAGTAAAAAAAAAATGTATACACAGGGACCTTGCTGCAAGAAACTGACTGGAGGTGAAAAGAATGTTCTGAAAATCAGTTACTTTGGAATGTCTCATCAAGAGGATGGTGGTTTATATTCATCTTCTGACTTAAAGCAGATTCCCATTAACTGGACAGCACCAGAAGCTTTTCCTTATGGGAGATATCGTTCTGAGATTGATGCAGGGAGCTTTGGCATCTTCCTCTGGGAGACCTTCAGCTTAAGGGTCTGTACATACCCTTTTTGCCATTGGAGGAGATCTTATCTGTCTTTTCAGATTTAAATGAATCACTGCCTTTTTCTTTGCCTGAAGATTTTGACTTATTTTTTTCCTTGTTTCTCTCATTTGGATAAGGAGACTCACATGGACTTTCACTTTTGTGTTTTGAAACCACCATTGTTCCATTTTCCTCCTTTCGCTTCTTGGCTAAGTTTGGTAGCACTTCACAGTCATGGTTTGAGTGTTCCCTTTTCCACTCTTTCCTGTCCTTTTCATCTTTTCTTTCTCTTTCTCTGGATCTTTTCCTTGACTTGTCCAAGTCTTTCTTGACCATTTCTTTGTCCTTACTCTTGGACAGTGGTGAAGGAGTATGATTAAGGAAGACTTTTGCTGAAGACTCCTTGAGTTCGATGAGACTGTCCTTTACTGTGGAAGAATGCGATGGAGAAGGGTGGGTATCAATTTTGCGGCGTTTTTGTTCCCTTTCAGACTCAGTAATATCTGATCGGGGAACAAGTGACTTCAGGGAGCCAGAAACTGGTGTTTTTTCTCCTTTGGCATTTTCCTTTGATTTCACGTCCTTTGCTAGATCTCTTTCTCTGGATGGCTCCTTCTCTCTTTCCCTTTTTTGAGTTGATTTTGATTCTACATTGGGGAGAGTGGTCTTGAGTTTCTCATCTTTAGCTTTTTCTTCCTTCTTGAATTTTTCTTTCTCTTTGTTGGACTTAGGTGTTCTTTCCTTTGTCTCTCTTGCTTTTTCATCTTTATTTGGCCGCTCTTCCTTCGATCTTTCTTTAACATCTTTACCAAGTACCCTGGTCTCTGGAGTAGTAGCTGGAGTCTTTTCTCCTTTCTCTTTTTCTTTCTCTTTCCCTTTTTCTTTGTCATTTTCTTTAACAGTTTTGCTGCTGTTAGAGCCACTATTTCCATTGGTTGAATTCCCTTTCAGTGTGGCACTAGACACTTTATTAGCGGCTTTCACACCACACTGAGATCTCTCCCTTGATTTATCATTCTCCTCAGCACTGCTTTCATGATATTTAGAAGCACTTCCTATGGACAACAAAGAAGACCCACCACTAGGCCCATTTTGTATACTGGCAACTGCATTCCTTGGAGGAGGGTCTTTGTGATGAAACTCATTTTCAGGTATCATATATGACTTTCTGCTTTTTAACTGCCCAGAGTAGCCCATAGCCAATGCATATAGATCAGGCCTCTTGTCTTTTTCTTCTTGGCAGATTTTAAGCACTCTGCTTTCCAAAGCCTGACCCAGATTCAAAACTTTTGGGTACCAAGGAAGTATTTTTGTTAGCACAATCAAGATATTCCTGATGTGAATATACTCGCCTGTTTCAAGGCAATGTACCGAAGCCTTGGTTATTTTGTAATGCCACTTATGTACAACATGTCGAAAATTTTCATAGTCCAATTGATCGGCTTTATTTCCACCGTTGAATCCAGTTGCCCGTAATATAGTAAGGAATCCTGGATAATTTCCACATTCTTTTTCATATGTGGCTCTATTACTGTGCCACCTGGTTACAGTCTCTAACATGCAGCAAAGAAATCTCCCATATCGACTAGCTTCATTTTCAGTACAGCTTGCAACTGTGAAAATTATGTCAGAGAAAATTCGGTCATAGCAAAGAAGTGTGGAAAAATTTGGAGTTTTCTGTTGATGTATCAGTTCAATGAAATGAGCACAGTAAACAGCATCAATTGCTGAAAATATACATCGAGGAAATATACACAGCTGTAGAAATTTTGTGATGGTCTCATTTTTGGTAGATTTTGCTAAAAGCCAGTTGTCCTTTTCCAATTTCAGTCTCTGTAGAACACGCTGTACATGCTCCATCTGTTTCTTTTCTTCTTCAAGAAGCTTGTCCTGAAGGGCGGTACAGCGCTCCTTCTCTTTTTTCTTTTTATTTGGAGGCATTTCCTGATTGTCATCAATTGCTTTCATCTGGATTTTAAGTTTACTGACTTCCCGTTCATAGCTGGTGTGTGGAACTGCAAGGTCATACATTGTCAATGACCAGAATGTGGCATAGAATTGAGGGCTGATGTCATCCCAGACTTTGCAAACATGCAAGGAGACCACTGCTTCATGGACAGGGGCCATCACCATTTTACATGATGTAATGTACTTGTGAACTTTATGTTGTTGTTTACTTCCCTTTTCTAATTTTTTAAGTTTGTCATACTTAGATGAAATATGGTGGGCATACATTGGCCTAGACAGGAAAAATGCTGCATCATGGGGTATATGAAATTCATTACAGAGCACATCAATTGAAGGCACTCTCTTAATATAATCTTCTGCGCTTAGATTAGATGCTAAAAATCCACCAAACTGTACCAGGGTATCATGACACTGATCATAGAGCTTTCCCACAAGTTTTAAATGTTTCTCTCCACCTTCCTGAAAGATCACCCCATTCCTCTGCTGAGCCATAATCAAACAGAGGGGAAGAGCAAGATCATGGTCCAGTAATGCGTCCTTTAATCTCTGGGAGGACTTTTTTGTGTTTCTGATCTGGCCAAAATAACCACCTTCTGCTTTTAGTTGCTCTCCACCAGTCATGGCCTCTAGTTGCTCCATTGTCATTTCCTCTGTAATTTCTATCCCTGCCATTTTTTGTACCACTTCTTTCAATATAAGCAGGTCAAAGCTTTTGCCTGCCTTTAGCTGATTAGCCACATATTGAAGAAGACCAGCAAGATCAATTGGATATTTACGAAAAATTGCACCACAGAAACTAGCCAGACTCTGAAACCAGCTCGAGATGGTTGTATCATCATGTTTCATTCTCTCCTTTTCTGGATTCGCTAAAGCTTCAATGATACAATAGGCCAAGACATCATAATTCAATGAAGTGAGGTATTTCAGTGAATCTACTACAGGTGTTATTAAGTTATCATACTTCTGTATTTGTGACAAGATATAATCAAACAAAATGGTTGGATTGCTGTGGCTCAGCTTCCCAATTTGTCTTCCAGAAGGCTTCACATTTTCCTTGGTTAGGCGCTTCATGATATATTTGGCTCTGTCTATTGTTTGAGCTTTAACTTTTATTAAAAGTGGGTGACTATTATAAGTTTCATTCTTCCACTGGCCATACAGACGGTATCTATGCTGATATGGAAATGTTTTAAACATTCCCCATAGTTCCTCAGACATACAAGCATTGCAGCCCATCAAAGAAAGAGATGGAAGTAGTACCTGGTCAGTAATGCTAAGCAAACAGCTAAGGATAACTTCCATTTTCTCTTTATCCTCTTGTTTGCTTCCATCAAACTGAAACTCCTTCATAAACGATTTGCCTATGCGCACTACTTTTGCAAATAAAATGGGATCATGAGAAAGGTGAGGACCAAGGTAACAGAACATATTGAATACATCTCTCCTCAAATCGTCAAAGCTCTCTGCTTGTTTTGGTGCTCTTGTATTCTGCAAAGCATTAACAGGTGAGCCTTTAGCACCTTTAGGAATGCCAACCTTTCTGTAGAGAGGCTCAATAGTTATGTGAATGAGCTTGCAAAGAGCAAGAGCTATTAGCTTATGTGAAGCAGCATAGTATGGAGGCATCTGATCCATAATGTTCTGTGCATGCTGCCAATCACCAATCTTTAATAAGGCTTCCAACAAACCAAGTTTTTGGTTGTCAGGTGACTTTTCCACCTTCTCCCCTTCTTTTTCCTTTTCTTTCTCTCGCTTATCAGTTTTTTCTGAAGATAACGCAACCATTGTAAGTTTTCTAACAATTTGTTTAGCTTCCACAATTTCTCCTTTATATTCGTCCATAATGCAGTTATCAGGTGGAAGAAGGTGTACATAAAGATCCTCTAAATCAATAAGATTAACTTGTAGAAGCACTGCTGCAACTCTGTATAAAGATGAAGGAGTCTCTCCATTTGGTAACTGGTAAAACTTGAATCTGAACCCAAGAATATGACACAGTGTTTGCGGCTCACACATACTCATGTAAGATTCCAATAAAGATATAAAGAAGTCATCATGTTCTGGCCTGCATTCAAACACTTCTAAAATGACATCCAAAACTCTATTGGGATCCAGATTAAAGCATCCTATTAAAGATTTGATATTTTCTAAGATTAAATCACTAGTAATATCTCCCAATAAATCTTGCCCCAATTCGGCAATCAGCTTGGCATAACCTTCATTTTCTTCTCTCAACAAATTGAATTTTTGCTGCTTATAAAAAAGTTTTGTCTTGATTTTTACTGACCTTTGATTGAATTGCTGTGATTGTTTTATAAGCCCTAATGATTCCAATGTTTCTGGATCCAAGCGTTCCTTTAGAATCGAGTCCGAAACTAAATACAAACACGCCAATACCAATTGCGTAAAATAGTCTCTCTTGCTTTTTTCTTCTAAACAGTTTGTCTCAATATCTAGTATGCAGAATACATCAGCAAGAATGGAGGGCATATCCTCACGAAATTCACTGATGTCATTAAAAACATTAGATGC